TTTATGTGTGGGTTTGTATGCATCAAATGTGTCTAATGCCAAAGCAACCAGGTTTAGGATTCCTATGACTGCAGTAAAATTCCCTCCATCCATCACTTACTCATTTGACCCAAAGAAAAAATTAACATAGGACAATCCTTAAGGCTACGATGAAGGTCACTTACTAATGTTACTAATACAGACTGATTATACAGAACCTTAAACACACTTCGATCAGTTAATAGAGCTCATACTCTTTAGAGAGCTCATATAAATCTACATTCTTCATGAAATGCAACAACTCAACAAAAAGTAGTTTTTGTCACAGTGGTGTGATGATCAGCTGTGCACTTAGCATGCTGAGGTTAAAAACTCAAAATATATCAGTAGGTTGTGATCTGGAAAATGATGTGGAATGATATGATATGGAAATTTCTATTAGTTTTTCCATATGATGGAACACGTCCGCAGTATTTCAGAAATAATTATGAGTAGTGGAAACAAATGTATCCCAGGAAAGAAAAACACCAGAAGGGAACTCAGTGTACCGGGATGGAATAAAGGTTTTGGTAAATCAGTAAGAGACAGGAATCTGGCTGCAGAACACCGAGGAGAGAGAAATACAGTACAAAAGGCTAAAAGCCCAAAAAAAAAAAAAAGTTACACAGAGAGTATTTTGGGAAATTTGTTGAGAGTTGAGATGTCAGTGGGGGAAATCTTTTGACTCAGTCGTCTGTGCCAATCTTTCTAGAATTGAAACCGAGTTAGGAAGAACTCTGCAGAAGTTCTGTAAAATAATGTGCCCACAGTAAGAAAACAAGAGAAACAGAAGGTTTTCTGTGTATTAACAAACACTTCCTGCTTTATAATTACAGGAGAGTCTGCGCAATGAGCTGCCAGAACATTTTGTGTAATTTCAAACATTTCTTACAATTGAATTTATGCGAACATGTCTTTCATTTACTACAGCAACATTTCTTTAGAAAAGAAAAATCACAGCGCCACTCGTCCAGCCTGCTTAAGATCAAAGTAAGTTGTATGTGGCCCTCAAAGTAAAATGAGTTTGACCTCCTTGGTTTACGAAGTACCAGAGGAGGGCAGCAATGCACCTTTGTGTCTAAAATCCAAGAAGAAGTCTGGCAGTCTGCCTGTTTAACCACCTTTGTGTGTCTCAGTTCGGGTTTTGGAATTTCCTGGATTAGTCTTTTTTGAGTGTGGATATTTTGGAGCTTGTGAACATCGGGCTTCTACTTTAATAAAAAGGTCTGTTTTACATTTGCCCAATTTGCCCACGAGTCCTGCAGTCGGGTCTTGTTTCTTGCTGGACATTGAGAGGTCTATAGATTGAAAGATCCATGTACTTCTCCAGTTATCCTTTACCTGAAGATGCCGAAGAGTTTTCCAAACCAGGTCTGTATCGGCATCATAACTGCAATTGTTGCAACACCTGCCAGGCACGAGGGGCCGATCTCATACCAAAGGAAAATGATGATCACCACTGCTTGCAGAGGTCCCGCCCACAAGTAGTGCAGTCTGAGTGTAATCTGTAGAGGTCATTATAAATGACATTTTGAAAAGTGTGTGACATTTGGAAGTGGCAGTCACAACTTGGATAAAACTGTCAGTCACCATAAAGAGCCTGTAATGTAAGCAAACATAGATGCCCAAGATTTGGAGAAATGTGCTCCATATGGTCAACAAATTTTAGGAATACTTAAGGTGTCTCAATAAAGTGTTGGGTAACTACATGCCGATAGAACAGCTTTAAGATGCTTGTGATTCTCGTGTGACTGCAATCACCCTCACATGTTAATCAGTCGTGTCAGGCTTTAAGCTATCCCAAAAAGGATTCCTTTGTGGCATTAACAAAATAGCCGCAGAGACTTGCTTTTAATGCCTGACTGCAGTTAACCAGGG